CATAATAGACAAGGACTACTTTTCTCTTTTTGAGCTTCTGTCCTACACAAAGGATATGGGTTATGCTGAGGTAGAGGGTTTTTATTTAATTAATCCTAAATCTAATGACTTTGTCTTGATTGAAAATGATGAACAACTATATAATATAGTTTGTCACCTTAATTATCTTGATTATTTAGATTTGTATATTAAGCATGTAGTTAATGAGCATGTGTTGATTGATGAGACTGTCCCATGTGGCCTTTTATGTAGGCCAGAAGTTATTGAACCAAGTAAAAATACATTAAATAAAGAGGCTAGAGCAACATCTAATGTTCTAGAGGATATAAATGTCCAAGAAAGCACCGCAGATAACACATCTGTGCCTGAGAAAAAACTAGCTGATGTTGGGGTTGAATATGAGAATTTACAAGGGGCTGAAAAAATAACAAACATAGATGCTAGTTTGGCATCGGATCTGTCAAGTAGTGAGTCTGAATTAGATAACATTCCTGACGAAGATGATAGTGATGTGAATGAAGAGCTCACTTCATTAAGGCATGAAAGAAGAAAGAAGAAAAAACAGAAGAAACAAAGAAAGAAACCTACTCCAACTGAAGAGATTATTCTGGGAGAAGCTGGAATAGATAAAGGTTTTGAGGATATTGGCAGACCATCTAAGGAGGACAAGTTTGCTGGAAAATTAGGAGGGGATGAAGACTACTACACCAGTTCTGATATTAGAAGTGATGATAGCACAGATGAGTTAGATGTTTTAGCTGAAAAGAGTATTGACATACCTTCTAGAAGGAGAAGTAAAAAGGTAAAGTTTGACCCTGACTGTTACCTTGCTATTTTTGAGCTTGGTATGATATTTGAAAATGCTGTAGAGTTTAGAAAAGCAATAGCCTCATATGCTGTGGAGAACAAAGTGCAACTAACAATTAGGCCTAATAAAAAGGATAGAGTTAGAGTTAAGTGTAAAGGAGCCAAGTGTAACTCGGAATTGTATGCAAGCAATTATGGAGATTCATGTGACTTTACTATGAAGAAGTACCATTCAGCTCATAAGTGCAACACCAAAAATAAGAATAAATTATGTACTTCTAAATACATTACTAATAAGTATAAAGATAGGATTATTTTCCAGCCAAATATTAAGTTGTGGGAGATTTAGAATTTGGTCAGGGATAAGTTAGGTTTGTATGTTGGAAGGACTGTTTGTTACAGGGCTAAGTGTAGGGTGATAAGTCAATTCATGGGTGACTGGAGGATGGAATTTAACAGACTTACTGATTATGCTGATATTATTAAGCAAACAAATTTTGGAAGTTCATGCTGGATCAGAACAGATAGTGAGACTATTCATGGCAAGAATTTGTTTGTCTATTTCTATCTATGTTTAGATGCTTTGAAAAGAGGATGGTTAGAAGGGTGCAGAAGGATTATATGATTTGATAGCTGTTTTCTAAAGGAAATATGCAAGGGTGAGTTAATTGTTGTAGTTGGTAGAAATGGGAACAATCAAATATTTCCTATTGCATGGGTTGTAGTTGATCAAGAGACAAAACACTCTTGGAGCTGGTTCATCACATATTTGATTGCAGATTTACAGTTGGGAGATGGTGTTGGCTTAACTGTTATGTCAGATATGTAAAAGGTAAAGTTACAATCAACTTTTAATTTTTTTTTCCCCAATTTATATATACTGTCCACTAACAGTTATTACTATTTTTTGTAGGGACTAGTACCAACTGTAAGGGAATTACTACCAATGGCAGAACACAGAATGTGTACTAAACACATTTGGTCTAACTGGTCCAAGAACTGGAGAGGTGAAGAAAGGAGAAAATAATTCTGGAGATGTGCCAAAGCATCTTATGAAGTAAAATTCAACGAAGAACTGGAAGCAATGAATAAGTTTGGTTATAAGATATGTGAAGACTTGTTGAAGTATGATAAAGAGTATTGGTGTAGGGCATACTTTAGAGAAGATTCAAAGTGTGATGTCATTAAGAATAACATGTGTGAAACATTCAATTCTTGAATAGTAGGTCCTAGGCACAAGTTTGTTATAACTATGTTGGAAGAAATTAGACATAAAATCATGAATAGGACCATTGAAATGAGGAAGTTTGCTGAGACTTAGGTTATTGACATTGCACCAATGGCTAGGATGATACTGGAAGAGAACAAAACCCTTTCTAGGAGGTGTAAGGTTATGTGGAATGCAGAACATGGGTTTGAAGTTGATGAAGGTGTGTACAGATTCATTGTTGATTTTAGGACCATGACATGTACTTGTAGATCATGGATGTTTAGGGGCATTCCATGTTAACATGCAGTATGCGCATTCTATGATAGAGAAATGGACCCAGATGATTATATTGCCCACTGGTATAGGAAGGAAACTTTCCTTAAAGCTTACCAGCATTTCATTCAACCAATTCCCAACATGAAGATATGGTCGGATTCAACAAATCCATTTATAGAACCTCCAGAACCTAAACCTATGCCACGTAGACCAAAGAGATGTAGGAGAAAAGCCAAGGATGAAGCAAGAAAAAAGTGTGGTAAACTATCAAAGAAAGGGGTAAAGATGACTTGTTCAAACTTCCAACAAACAGGACATAACAAATCTGGATGCAGGAAAGGGGTAAGTTCTGATATTTGTAATTCTGTCTTTTACATTCTTTTTTTGCAATTCTGATATTCTTTTCTTTTACTTCTGTCAGCATGTTCCAAGAAGTGCTACTCAACAAAAGTTAAAATATGCCACCACCTCCACCAAGATCATCTCAGGAAATACCATCTCAACAAAGCAATCCATTCTCTATATGTGAGGATACAAGTGTTGTCAAAAGACAAAGCAACAACCAATCAACTGGGATTGGTAAAGGAAGAGGAAGAGGAAGAGGAAGAGGCCATGGACTATGTAGGGGAAAAGGAAGAGGAACTACACTAGGAGGGGGATCGGCTAATGCAGCAACCATTGGACATAAAAGGCCAAGGCATACTGGTTTTGGGATTTTCACTAACACTATGACTCGAACTACTATCCTGAATGTAAGGGTGTATAGTTTATTATAATGCAGTTTTGTGGGCTGGAATTGTTCTGTTTTTTACTAATTTATTGTATTTTACAGCCTGGTATATCATATGAGAGAGTCATATCAGCTGGGACATTCAAGGATGCATCTGCAACTAACATATACATTGGATTTAAGCCTCCGGATTGAAGTTTAAAGGAAGAAATGCAGTGACAAGGTCACAACTTCAGGAAATGAGTGCAGCAAGGAAAAAAGGTTCTTCAAGTCAAACAAGTTCAGCTGCATCTACACTGTGAAGCAGATCAGTTTTTATTTATGTTATCTAAGATGTCACTACCAGTTTTTTGTTTGGGCAGTTATGCTCTATTAGAGTTTATTAGTTTGGGAAGTTATATGTTTGGGAAAACAATGCTCTATTTTTTGTAATTTGTAGACCAAAACAATGCTTTATTTTTGAGCTTGGATGTAATGCTAGTCCATCACATTATGCAATGGAATGTTTAGGCAGTTATGTTTTCAATTCATGAATATGAATTTGCATTTCATTCATAACACATTATGAAAGTGCAGCTAAATTTAAATTTGCATTAAAATTGGTCATTTCCATTTCATTCATAACAAGATAGTGTACATTAACAAAAGATCAAATTCCTAGTACCTACTTCTAACATACTACATTTTTCTTGAACTAATAGCAGCAACTACAACACTATTAGCACCAGCATATCATAAAAATACTACATTGTTCTTCAAACCACCAGCATCACCAAAGCCAAATCCATAGAAACAGCACCACCACCACAACAAATAACCACTTCAACCGCGCAACTGTTTTCTCAGTTCTTTCGACTCTCTTCAACAGACCCCGTATAACCCTCTTAGCTTGGTCAGGCATTTCATCATCATGCCATCTGAAATATTTGCAGCCACCTCGACCCTACAAATTCAAAAAGAAATGCGGCCAAAAAAATTAAAAATAAATTTCTTTATTAAGAAATTCAAGGGTCTAACAAAAACAATACGATCGACTTACCAATTTACAACATAAAATTGGCGACCTGGGTTTGCAGATGACCATGATATAGTCAGTGGCGCATTAAATCCACAGTGGCAAATTTTCATTCCATTGCGAGAAGTTGTTGATTTTTGTGACATGGAACTGATAAACGAGAAAGATGAGGAATAAATCAGATCAAGATTCAAGCTTGGACACCTAATCTTCAGTAGAAGGGGAAAATGGCGAATTCGCAAGGGAAGAAGACGAAAGAGGAATTATGGCATTCTTGAAAGAAAAAATGGGAAAATCGGGTGTTTTAAAGTGGGTCTAACGGGTGTGTTTTATTTTTACTATTGGAATATCCACCTAAGCAAATATTAATAATATTCACGCGCTTATCATGTGTGGACATAACGCTCCTTTGGCCGGACATGCGTTGTGTTTAAATGGTATACATCAAAATAGAATTAAAGTGTTCAATAGGAAAAGCGCTAAATTAATGTGTCAAAATGGAAACTGGAGTCAAGTTTAAGGGGCGAGTATATATTTGCCCATTTTAAAATAATGGAGAAAAACCAAATGAGTCATCATCACAAAAACATTAAATTAATCTGTTAACCACAATAATCAATCCGTCTGTCATCAATAAGTGCAGTTTAACAAGAAATAAAATATTGAAATAATTGTGGTTTAAGCAAAGCAGTAAACGGAAGCAGAAAGCAAGGCCCAGTTATTACCGACACGTGGTTCCGCATATTATACCACTAGTAGGGCTCTACTGACACGTGTCAGTTTGTCCTTACGTGGACCAATCGGGTCGGGGAAACGGATCGTATCACGACCCTCTCTCTCGACCACGAATTCTGATACCCACTCTCTAAGCTAGGCGACCTCAAATTTGATCCGCGTTGCCACGTGGGCATTCCACGCCTGACACTTGTTTTTATTAAATACAAAAAATATTAAAATATTCCTGAAAATTTTCAAAGCAAACAAAGCTGCTCTGTCTTTCTCTCTCTATCTCTCTATCCCCTTCTCTCTCTATCCAGAACCTCCGAGATTTGTATTTGCGAGCATCAAATTAGGGTTCTACTGCCGTCCTTGTGCCGTTAAGTACTGATTTCCGGCGAAGTCGTGTCTTTCCGACGACTTATCTGTTTTAAGGTGAGTTTTCCGGCAGGATCTATGTAAAGTGGTATTTGCTCGGTTAATTTTTGCTGTTTTTTATTGGCTTCTTACTGCATGAACCTCAACAATAAGAGTTTTCAGCTTTTGAACTGATTGAAGATTTTTCTCAAAAAAAATAAATAATAGAAATTACGAATTTACTACTCAAAAGTCGTAACTTTTAGAAAATTTTACTGCTTTTAATTACTTGATTTAGAGCCTTCAAATTTTGTAGCTTTGATAGATATCTTACTGTTTTAAAAGTAGGAGCAGGAAAATGATTTTGTTGAATTGTTTCTAATGTTTGTTTTTTCATTTTTTGATTTGGCTGATTCGTGAACGGAGATAAAAGAAGGATTTGAGATTTGAATATGACATCTGACCAGTGTGCTGCATGTGGCTTGAGTGCTGGTTGAAACAAATCAAAGGAATGTTAGATTTGCAGTTATACGAGGTAAGAATTTCTGCATTCCTCGACGGGTGTAGCTGAGTTTAAATTGCTATTATTATTATTTGATGCCCTTTTAACGTTGTTCGTTGTTCATTGTTCTTCTTACTGGCTAGCGAGTGAGTACATTGAATTTGCCTTAGTTTGGTGTGCCGCCGAGATTAGATTCATTTCAATCTGTATAGGTTTCCTTTGATGACAAGTGATTGGGGGAATGGAGAAGGTGGATACTTTGAACACATTGAATGTGATTAAGATGTTAACTAGTTGCCTTTCTTTACTATTTAATTCTGCTTTACGTAATTTTATTAGAGGAAAGTTGACATTAGGATCAACTGCTGTTCATGAAATTCAATTTGTCTTTGCCACCCTCAGAAAGAGGTATACTGTAAATCATACTGAAAGTGCACCATTATCTTGTTCATTGTCCTCCATTTGCTATTCTTTACATAAGAAGAGGTACCAGAAATTCTGTTGAACAATTTAGTCCTCCTTTTTCCTCAGCTGATCTGCTCCCTGTATCAATTTTCTTTCATGCTTCGGAAGTAGCTTAGATTCTCTTTCCTCAATGAGAAGTAATAAGAGGACAGTTGACAGAGAGTTAGGTGATCTCTTTTCATTTGCTTAAGCAATGTGGGCAAAGTTACCCCGTATCTCTTTTCTTAAAAAAAGAAGGTTACCCCGTACTTGTACCAATAGGAGGATGCATGTACCTGGTGGAATAGTCGAGTTGCTCATAAGCTGGCTTGGACACCACCATTTTATTAAAATTTCTGTTATCTTAGTAAACTGCCTTTGCTTCATTTGTAACATTATTTTTTTGCTGGTGAATCTTAGCTAGTCATTTCATCCTTTGGTGATCTCAACCTATATCCTTGTAGGAGACCAAGAGCATTCTACCATTATATGTGCTTTGTCATTTCCTCATACTACAAAATTTAAATTCTAGTTTTGATTTGCTCATTTTATGGAAGTATACTCTGCCGTTCTTACAGCTAAAATTCTGTAACTGGTGTTACAGCTTGAAGATATATCTTGGGATGAGTTCTGCCACAGCGATGATCATATAGTGCCACATCCAAGTAGTGTGCACACCGATGAACCACTCCCCCAGAACGATAGCCGTAAGAAACCTCGCCATGAAGTAATTGGTTTAACAAGTAACACAGGCGATCAATCTACTGGTAAATATGCTAATCAGCAAAAGGAGCAAATACTTCCTCCATTGAGTAATAAAAACACCAAAATGCTGGAAAAGGACCCCTGGGCCGATGCACCTGATGGTGCCAAAGTCGAAGACGTTTCACCATCTGAAAATACCAGGACATCCAGTCGTCGTATCAAGAGTAATAATGTAAACTCAATTGAGAGCAAATCCTGTTCTAATGGTCGCCCTCTGGATGACAAGAATGCTGCTGTGGGGGAAAACGCATATAGCTATCCAGTTGGTCCCATTCCTCAGGCCGATGATGATCTCAGCTTTTTGGACAATAGTTGCGAGGGTAAAGACTCTAATGATCTCTTATACTATAGCTGGCCTGAGATAGAGAACTTTGAGGATGTTGACAGGATGTTCAGGTAATTGCTTTCTTCATTTCAGTCAAACGGACTTTATTCATCCTTTTATCCTTTTTAGGGGGTAAGATGTGAACAAAATTCAAAAAAAAAAAAGTATTCTACCCATGACATCTATGTCAGTTTTTGATGTGAATATAGATAAAATGAATAGTCTGTTTAAAATACTAACAATGGTAATGTGTTTCAGGAGTTGTGATTCAACATTTGGATTTGGACCTGGTAGTGAAGATGACCTAGGTTGGCTTTCATCATCAGATGTTATTGAAGGATCTGGAGATGGATTGACGTCAGCTTTTAAGTTTCCATGTCCAGCATCCACTGCACTTGGAAGTACATCTGCAAGTCATGAAACTTCAAAGCTAAAGGAAACAAACATTTCAACTAATACTTCTGTCACTGAAAATCAATCACTTGGCTATAATGGCAGTTCATGGTCCTCCGAGAAAAATGAATCGGTAAATCTGAGTCAATTGTCTTTTGTAAATGAATCAAGTAATTCAGAGTGCGAGTTAGTACCTGACAAGAAGGTATATTACTCAGTCTCTGTGAATATCGTTCTTTTTATCTTTAAAATCATATTTTGCATCAGCTTACCTATAAGGTGGTTGTTTTGAAGAAGGCTGGGGTACAGGGTGGTGGAGTACAGGTCGAGATTGCATCTAATAACCAACCACGAATCAGCAATGATGTAGTGGTGAGTAAAGAATGGATGGTAGTTCCAATTTAGGTGCATTCTTCCTCTTTGAATTTTAGTGTTGGTTGAAGGAACAGTTCCTGAGTTTCTGGATGATATTGTCTTTGATACCATCAGCTTCTTATTAAATGCATTGATCCTGATGTGAACAATTATTCCTCCTATTTTTAAATTCCTTATGGTGTCTTCTTTCCAGAATAGCATGCAAAGGAAACACTCCAAGCATCAGAATCGATCTGAGGGTAAAAGAAAATGCGGCTATCTAGAAAATGGCGACACATTCAATTACACTGATAGCGTTCCAGAAGAGAAGAAGCATCCTTCTGGCCCCCCAAGAACTCAAGTGAATTTCACATCTGCAGGTGTCCCGCAGCAAAAGCAAGCTCAAGTGCCCGATTTTGGCTATTTGGGGGGTAGCTTTTCTTACATGCATTCAGATTACGGTCATTCAGATAGGAGTGCTCTCCATCCAACTCTACCAATTACAAAGCACGAAAATAATGGTCTCATGTCTCCTTCTCCCAAGGACTCCTATGCATCAAATCAGGTACAGTCCATGGAGGGTTCTCCTGATCCTTCTTTTCAGGTGGCTGCTATGACAATAAATGAAAAGGCGGAGAAGTTATTCCACCAATCCGGAGTTAAGGTTGAAAATAACCGTGATCTTGAAGGGGTTGGCATGGGGATTCCAGCAGAATTAGGATCCTCAGTTGTACAGGAGTGCTCTTCTATAAGTTCTGGGTTGGATGAAAATTCAGAAGAAGCAGCTAATTTTCATCAGCTTCAACGTGTCATGGAACAGGTAGTCAGTCCCACTATGAAATTTACTGTGTTATAATCTTCTTCTTCTTCTTCTTTGATGAATTTATTAAGAGTTTAAGCTGCAAAAGAGTTAACTCAACTTTGCATGTATGACATACTCTCCTATGCATGTTCAAAGTAGACTGGTGTTGTGCAATCAGTCTTGGTGCTAATCGCAGTTATTTTCTTGATCTGGTGTCATATATATAAAAACATTTCATATTCCTATACTTTGTATATCCCAAAGTATTTCATCTTACAATATTTGAAGAGGGATGTAGTATATCAAAGATCTCCTGCTACACTCTCTTGTAGCTGCACACATACATCACGGGACTGTTCCGATTTTGTAGAACTGCACACTCGTTTTGTGCATGCTTCAGGATGGTCTTTTTAGTGCATGTCGCTGTTGCAAGTGGTAGGCAAGTGATTGGTATATTTAGGCTGTTTCATACTTAATCACCAAGCTGCAATCATATTTTGGTTCTTTTTAGGCTGATGGGGAGTTCTTGGAGGGAAGGAGCCGGGGGTCTATCGGAAACAACCTCTCTACCCCAGGGTAGGGGTAAGGTCTGCGTACACACTACCCTCCCCAGACCCCACTAGTGGGATTATACTGGGTTGTTGTTGTTGTTGTTTTAGGCTGATTATGCAGAAATCATCCAAACGTATGACTTATATTTCAGTATTCTCTGGTAATTATTCATATGTTAGTCCAGTGTACTTTGGCTAGGATGGGCTTGTTAGCAGATGTGTTAAAAGTGGGTCTTCAAAGTTAAACCTGTAGTTGAAATTGACTTCTTAGTATTACATCTTTGTAAAATAGATGACGTTCAACTTTCTTGGTTTAGTTGGACATACGGACAAAGCTATGTATAAGGGATAGCTTGTACCGGTTGGCTCGGAGTGCTGAACAAAGGCATAGACATGCTAATCTCAATAATGGCTCTGGAGATGATGGAGGGGCCAGCGGATCACTGATTAGCGAGGGAACAAACAAGTATGGATCCTTTCTCAGTATCTATATGCATTATTTGCTGAATAGCTTGTTGTCTTGGCTCTCTCATATTACTTCTCCTATATTGTCTATTTTTTTTTTTTGTGTTAATTAATCATCTTGTATTAGTTTATATAGTTGATTGGTTGTTTAAGTTTGACATCATTGTTGAGCTTGGCTTTGCTTAGTTCAACGATGGCATTGCTAAACTATATATGTTGCCTTTTATTTTGGGTTAATTAATCATCTGGTATTAGTTTATATAGTTGATTGGTTGTTTAATTTTGACATCATTGTTGAGCTTGGCTTTGCTTAGTTCAACGATGGCGTGTTCAGCGAGTTGTTGAATACTAGCCCAACTTTAAGTAGTAGCATCCTAATTTAAATCTAGTACTGTGCAGATGTTTGTCCATTGAGTTATATTTTGCTACATAAAAGCTTGTCTATACAAGTTTATTCGTTGAGATTAGCCATTGGCCAGGTGAAATTAATAGTATGGAGTGAAATTATACTAGTACTACCCATCTTATAAAAAAAATTGTACTAGTTCTACACGTAGACGATCAATAATGAAAATCAGAAAAATTCACTGAACAACTAAAACGGTAATTTTGGATGAATCCCTTGTGGTTTCCATACGCTGCAGCTCCTGTTGGTGATAGGCAGATGATCTCCTCCAATATCCTCTTGCTCTCTTCCTAAAATGAGCCGAAGCAGGTTTTTCCGTGCTAGATATAATCGCTTTGAGTAGACAGACAGGGTCGATCTCAGAAGATGTGGATGAATCAATACTTCATAAACTGTACAGGAAGAAAGTTATACTGGAACAGAAAGTTGATGTTTCTGAACAGTTCTTAACTAGTTCTAGGGCCATCGACTAATAGTCAACATCTCTGGAACGGCATTCTTCTTTGAATGCTCAAATTTGGTGCTAAGATAAGATCTTTAAACTATTAGTGTTCTTCACTTCTACCTAAAAATCCTGAAATTTGGATTTATTTCACATATTTAACAGCAGAAGCGAGGATTTAGCTCAGTAAGAGTGGTATATTCAACATATCAACTGTACAATATAAATGTGGTAGATAAAGTTATGTATCAAAAGAATTGATTGTTATCATTCCCTATATCATTCCCTATATGTAAATACGTAAATAAACTTACCTAAAGGATTGATAAATGGCATACAAAATACATAATGAAGTGAAGATAATATTGGATGAGTTTTATGCATGACATGTGTCTCAATTGACAGGATGGTACTGCAGGAGTGTATGTATTCTGCCAAAATATGTTGGTGGTTTTTCTTATTATAAGTCCTCGATTTATTAAATGTCAGTGTATATACAACATGCTCAGTTAAGAAAAAGTACTGTTGGTTAAGAAAGAGGGATACTATGTCAAGTCAGAAATGATACTTTAAAAAGCAAATCGGTGCAGGGGTGCTGGGTTTGTGGAGCTGGTGAGCAACACATGTAACAGATTCTATCTCTTTTTGACATCACTTTTTGGTCAGTAACATCGAAGGGGTTGTATTTCAGGTCCACAGGATATTTGGACATCGAAACAGACACGAACCCTATAGATCGATCTATTGCACATTTGCTGTTCCACAGGCCTTCAGATTCAACTGTAACCCCTGCCCGTGACTCCTGGACTTTGAAGTCGCCTTCCTTGGTAGGTTTCTCTTGCTTCCAATATTCATATTTAACTGTCTGCAAGATGAAATCTTATCCTCAATAGAATCAATGGCAGATTCATGGGTCATTGTCTAGCACGCCAGTGATGGGTGAGAACTTGATTTCTCAGGGAGAAATTGCACCTCAAACAGATAGAACTGATCATTGACCATAACTATTTAAGAAGCAAATGATGGTGTCTACTCTCAATCCTTGTGGGAGGTCACGTACAGAAATTATCAAGATCTCTTACAAGGAACCTTTATGTTTTCAGTGTTATGTGGGGGACCCCGGTTTCTGGTCCATGTTAGACCATATCGTTGTATGAGCTTTCACAATCAGGTTACTTTTGTTTCCTTCTATCCCATCTGTAGTGACTGTAACCCTTCTACACTTAGAAGGCATACAAAAACAACCATTCTTGTGTATACGTAGAGTGGACCAACTGACTCTTTTTGTTGTCTGTATGTAAGTAGATAATACCTGGAAAGTTTCCATAAACTGATATTTGCAAGTGCGGAAGATGCTCCGACCTGTTCGTTTATCTGTGGTTTTATGGATCTTTTCCCTTTTTCCCTTTTAAACCTAATTCAAAATTTAATTCACAGCGGAATTGCTCTCTATAGGATATAACTTAATTGCAATACAAGATAGATCATCTTCAGATACGTTATATTTAAAGATATATATTATATTCTCTCATATATTGACACAAATGAGTAGTTGTAGAACAGTACTTCGAAAGAGAGGTGAGCGGTGAAAGATATTTCATTACTTATTCTGAACAGCAGCTGCTCCTACATTTTTGTTAACAAAAGTTGATTGGTGAGATGTAGTTGTATGGGATGAGGGCTTGGCTGGAGAATGAGGCCAAACAAAAGCACCCATTGCAAACTTTCGCTTGTTAGCCAAGTCGCCATCAGCAGGTAAACCATATTCAGCAAGAAGCCTGTCTATCATCCACTCGGGCATGTGCTGATAGTCCTCTTTGGTGTATTTTGGATAGTGCAGAGGCATCTGGAAGTTGCTAACGCGACTCTTTTTTTTACTATCCATCACGTTCTATCTCGCCTTTAATGGATATGCTACACTTGGCTGATTTCAACAAAATGTGAAAGTAATGTTATATAAGCATGTTGAATATCACAGGAATGGAGTGATGTACCTTCTCACACCATCCATTAATTGGCACCTCGTGCGTTTTCAGTCTTGAAATATCATGTATGTGGGCATGTGTGCGTCCCTGCGGGAGAGAGTAAAAGGTAGCTAAAAGTGTATGAAGCCATGAGCTGACTTCTCAATATTCATGTATATGGGCTTATACAATTCTTTCTACAATATGTCATCACAATCAACAAATTGAAGTCTTTCAAAAATTTCAATGTATAGACACTTATCACAAGCATCTTATTCTAAGTTAGAGCAAGGCAAGTATAATCTAGTATGGTTAGAGAAAATTAAAAAAACATTAGATGGAGGGTGTGTTTGGTACGAAGATAAACATTTTTCGGAAAATATTTTCCAATTTTTTCATGTTTGGTTGGCTTAAATGTTTTGGAAAATATTTTTCTCATTAACTCATTTTCCTCCAATTAGAGGAAAATATTTTTCCTACCAAAAGAAGTGAACATTTTTCAAAATACTTTTTCAACCTTCCTCACCCT